TTTCTTTCTTTCTTTCTTTCTTTCTTTCTTTCTTTCTTTCTTTCTTTTCTTTCTTTCTTCTTTCGTTCTTTCTTTCTTTCTTTCTTTCTTTCTTTCTTTCTTTCTTTCTTTCTTTCTTTCTGTTATTTATTTGAGAGAGAGAGCACAGAGGGAGAGGGAGAGGGAGAAGCAGACTCCCTGCTAAGCAAAAAGCCCGATGCAGGGCTTGATCCCAGGACCCTGAGATCATGGAGATCATGACCTGAGCCAGAGGCAGACACTACAATGTGTCTCTCCCTTTTTTCTCTCTCTTTTCCCAGCCAAGGGAGAAGCAACTAATCTTCTCGTTAAACAAGTCTCTGTTGGTAGAAAGTCAAGTGTTAAGCATAGCAATTGCTGGGTGCTGGGAGAAAGGATAAATTTAACTTGCTTCTTTATGCATCTCTGTACTTTCCAGCACCTTCTCCCATTTAAAGGCCTCCTTCCAAGCTGCAGGCTGCTGGGCTCCGAGACACAGTATCCCACACTGACCACAGCAAGATGGGATTTAAAAGCAGCACCGCAGGAGACTCAAGGTTGGCTCTCCCACCCCCAACCCACACTTGCTACATTCACTTCTGCTTCCTCCCACCTCCTTTCACACCTTTTATTATCTAAGAGCGGTCTGTCTCCTAAGCCAAGAAGAAGATTCTATGGGGGAAGATCCTTATGGTCCTCCCCTCTCTAAGGCCTATCACTGTGGTTTGTCTATGGAAGGCTCTTCAGAAACCTTTGCTATTAGCTGGGAACTCCTCAAGGGCAAGGATGGGCCATACTCACTTTTGCCTACCAAGCCTCTCACGACCCTTGGTGGGTGCCCAATATTTGTTCAATAAAACCTGACACGGAAGAAAAGCAAGTGATGGGAGATGCTCACAAGGAAGAGCCACTCGATGTCATTACCCAGTAAAAGCTTGAAGGCAAGATCATCCCAGATAGATGGATAGATAACAAGGTCAACTGTACTGGTAACTGTGGCCAGTTCATCAAGTTTTATGAGTCTATTGTGCCAAGAATTTCAATAGAAAAATAAATAAATAAGATCCAGGGACTAGGAGATTTCGAAGGGCATTTGGAAACAACTCCAGGTCTCAGCCACTCAGAGAGTCTTCTACTCTTTTCTAGGACCAGATCCATTTTGTGGAAAGAGCTCAGGCTGTGGAGCCGGGCGACATGGTTTAAATCCCAGCTTCGC